AGGATAACTTTGAGGTGGTTTCGTAGCCTACAATAATATCTTCGTTTGTTCTCCGCTATTAGTGACTTTGGAGTGACTCTTTGTTGCATGTTGAGGGATAGTTATATGATCCAATTATGTTATTATTGTTGAGAGAATTTGCACTAGTGAAAGTATGAACCCTAGGCCTTATTTCAACGCATTGCAATACCGTTTACGCTCACTTTTATCGCTTGCTATATTGCTGTTTTTATATTTTCAGATTACAAATACCCATATCTACCATCCATATTGCACTTGTATCACCATCTCTTCGCCGAACTAGTGCACCTATACAATTTATCATTGTATTGGATGTGTTGGGGACACAAGAGACTCTTTATTATTTGGTTGCAGGGTTGTTTGAGAGAGACCATCTTCATCCTACACCTCCCACGGATTGATAAACCTTAGGTCATCCACTTGAGAGAAATTTGCTACTATCCTACAAACCTCTGCACTTGGACGCCCAACAACGTCTACAAGAAGAAGGTTGTGTAGTAGACATCAGTCTTCTTTGAGGGCCAATTCCTGCATCATCTCCTCCAGGTTACCTTTTCCTTTACGATCAGATGCTGAAGTACTTCCATGGGTTGCCATCACGAAAAACCGATCTTCCACGGAGTAAAACCCTAACCCTCCCAAGGTAGAAGATCGATCCAGGCCTGGGAGGCGGACAGAGCTACCCCCACGGTGACCCGAGATCAGATCCCGCCTCTGCCGGAGAGAAGGGAGGTAAAAGTCTCAACGTCGCTAGAGGCGGCGAGAGGAGGCGAAACCCTAACTAGAGGGAAAAGGCGTTGAGAGAGAGGTGTGTACAGTTACAAGTGCTGAGCTTTGGTTGCACAGTCGCCGCTATTGTTGGGCCGGAAACGTGCCCTTTCTGCAATCTGCTGCCAGCCGGCCCAGACAACGTGTGTTTTAGAGCAACTTCAACCATAACCCCAGTTCAAAAAAGAAAAACAAGAAAAATTGTCTAAAAGAACATAACCTCATATTCTTCACTGAACACCATTTGGGGTTCTCATTGTCTATTTTGAGGCCCTCATTTTCACATGGCATTCCAACCGTAGCTCCCAAATCCTCTCTGTCTCTTCCCTTTTTACATTAAAAAAACAAAATGAACAATGGTGGGCAGTGGCAAGTGACGACCGTTGGCGACGGCCAACTGCAGACGACAGACAATTGAAGGCAATGCACGATGAAGCTCGATGCTGATGGTGATGGACGGTCAAAATTGGGTAGTCAATGGCGGCGGGGATTGATTTAATGCCCCAAAAGAATGCTCAAGAAAATGTTATAAAATTTTAAAAAAACTGCTTGATTGTTTGAATAGTGATTCAATCTAAGGAGGTAATTCATATTGTTCATAACTTTTTAGAATCACCAAGCACACGCACACATGCACGCCACTATACACACGCACATCTCAAGACTAGAGCATTGTATTATCCGGTTTTGAGTTAAACAAATATCGACGTTTTGAGTTACACAATTATAGATAAGAACATTGTCTTGCGCCAAATTTCTTTTGAGACAATGAGCCTCCTCATCGATTTTCATCTATTACATGAAACTAAAGAGTGGAAATGGCAAAAAGAAAAAGAAAGCCTGGGAACATATGAGGCAGACAGACAACAACTACACGCAGGAAGCTTGAAACACAGCTCTGCTAGGCCTAAGCAAAAACCGGAAGTTCATATTTGAGCTCACACACCCAGAGCACGTAAAAGAATAGAGCTCAAGCAGATCCTCCTAGCCCCCTTGCATACGCCTATCCCAACACCTTCTTGATCTTCAGAACTGTCCCCTGCCAAATGAAATGGCTTTCACGATCTCCACTATTTAGTTAAATCTCAAAATGCGACCGCTTCTTATTCATAGGAATGGAAATGGTAACAACCTAATACATTTCCGCAGCCTTGTGTTAAACGGTTATCGTGGTCTTCAAATGTCAGTCATCCATGTTACTTCCTCCGCTCCTAAATATAGGTCTTTTTAGCGATTCTAATATGGACTACATTGGAGCGAAATGGATGAATTTACATCTAAAATACGTCTACATACATCTATATGTAGTTCATATAAAAATCTCTAAAAGGCTAGTAATATTTAGGAACAGAGGGAGTAGATGTTACTACTACTAGTCTGCTATGCCATAAACTCATGAAACAGAGTGGCGGTCAGCACAATTGATTAATCTCTCGCCAGATCCCTTTCGATCTTGTCAAGGTAGCTGAGCATCGCCTGGAGGCCCTTCTCGTCTGCAAATGTCGAGCACACAGAAAACAAAATGTAAACCAGCAAAACTCAGTCAATAACCTTCCCTTGCTCTTTCTGAACGTTCCGGTCCCGTTCGGCCATGAACCCAAATGCTCTCTTCCAGATCTACGGGCCAGGCGCGCTTACCGAGTCTGGGGACCGTGTGCCCGGCCGGGTGGCGTATGACAAGCGGATCCACGAACGAGTCCGCCAGCTCCTCGCCGTGGGCTTTCACGAAGTCACCGTCGCCTGCCCGCAAATAACTGCAACTTCAGCCATATATTGCAGATTTGCAGTTGTTCACTTCTGCTGACAATTGCTAAGATGATAATAACATGGCAGTTACCAATGAAATGAAGCGAAGCGCAGTTGATCTTGTTGGCGTACGCCTTGGCGGCCAATGCCGGGGACTGGATCTTCGCACCGGATATGATCATAACGTACTTCACCCTAGGAACCCTGTTCAAGGCCAGCCCCTGCCATAGAAGAACACAAGAACAGAATGTTCAGGTCGATTAAGCCGCAACTACGCATTGACAGATAGCAGTGGATCCAGCAAGTAGCATGAACTGCAGGAGACGAGGAGGACGATTAACAACTCACTTGTTGCTGGAGCCCAACAAGCGCGGCCGACAGGAGGGCGCCCTGAATATGATGATCACATCACAGTAGTACTCATCAGTTCATCGGTGTAGTATGAATATGATGATTGATGTCTGAAACGAAGATCGATTTGAAGTAGTTTACCACCTGAGAGAAGCCGAACAGTCCGTCGAACGGCCCTTGTCTCACCATCAGCTCCTCGATGCCGGCCAAGCACTCGCCGAAGTTCTTGTACTTCAAAAAATCCTGTCCCGAGATCGATCGATCGATCCCGGGTGTGAAGTGATCCTGTCTGTCAGTCTAGCTGAAAAGTCAACCACGCGCTACCTAGTCTGACTCTGACGGAGGCCCGCCGGACTGACCTCGCCGGCGAAGCGGCACCACTCGTAGTAGGGCGGGTCGAAGACGCCGCGCACCGGGGAGTCGCCCTCGGCGGGGAAGGGCGCGTCGGGAAAGGCGAGGTCCAGGCGGGACGTGACGCCGGCGGGCCACCTGTCCGCCACCTGCCTCCGCATGATCTCCCCGCTGGTGCGGAACCCGTGCAGGCACAGGAACCGCGGCGCCGGCCGCCTCGCCGCTCCGTCGTCTAGTTCCAAGGCCCCTACGCCGTGGCGCTGGCAGCGAGCCACGGGCGGCTTTCGAGCCGTTGGGAGGCGACCGCGCGAGAGCGACGGGGCGGGGGCCTGCGTGTGACGCCGGGCGTTGCTCGCCGAATTGAAGACGACGTGACCACGGAGGTGAGCTGCCGCGGCCATCTCTCTCGAGTTTGGATCGCTGCTGCGCTCCTCTGGTTTGTACGTATATGGTGTAGCTTGCGCCGCGCTATTGCTTCTGTATGGTTTGCCAATCGGGTGATTGCATGCTTCAATTTTTTGATTGGCTTGGAAAGCACATAAGATGAGATGGCTTTGGTGAGTGTTGGCCGGGGCCGTCTGTTCTTTATTTCTGTACAGTTTTTGTAAATTGTACAGAGTGTTCTTTCTTCCTTAGCTTAGCTTATTCGACATGTATTTACACGGATCATGTACTTCTATTTTTTCTCTCTCATGTTATTTGTTAGGGAAAAACTTACCTTCTACCGGCTGATTGCGCGCACCCATCCGCCGTCTCCGTGGCCATCTGATCTATGCTTTATCAGACGGTCAAGAGCACTCCCGCGTCTTGCTAGAGGCGTGTTCGTTTCCTGCAACTGGATAACAGAAGGAGGGTTTCATCCCATAGAAGTGTGGGCTCGCGTGGCTGGGAGTGTGAGCGGCTAGATTTGGGAGGGCGGCAGACGCGGCGGCGCAAGGCGTTGGGCGACCGGGGCTTATCCAACGTGGTGGCGTCGACGACTGGCTCGGGATCGACGGTGGCTGGCGACGACTCAAGCAGGTATGGTTCAGAGATCCCTTCTCCCATTTTCTGGCCGATGTGGCGATGGTGGTGCTCCCTGCTATTTCTCTTATTTCTGCAACAGAGCATTTGTTGCGGGGAGTAACGAGTGGGCATATGGTCTTGTTTCTGTAATAGAGTGTTCGTTGCAGGAAGTAATGAATGGGCATGCAGTCTTGTTTTTGTAAGAGAGTGTTTGTTGCGGGAAGTAACGAATGGACATGCAGGGTGCGGACACTACATCAGACAGCTATCAGCTCGGGCAGGGTGCGGACACTACATCAGACAGCTATCAGCTCGGGCATCCAACGATCATCGAGGCGGCGGATAATATGCAAATATCAGCGTAGCAGTGCCCTATTTGTTAATACAGTACTGTAGAGATACAGTATCAACACGAGAAAATATACTAGGTCCATAGGACGTGAACGAGTAGTGGCAAAGAGCTAGACGATAGCTATCATTATTGAGTACTCACTCCGTTTCTAAATATTTGTCTTTTTAGATATTTCAAATGGCTACCACATGCGGATGTATATAGACATATTTTAGAATGTAGATTCACTCATTTTGCTACGTATGTAGTCACTTATTGAAATCTCCACAAAGACAAATATTTAGGAACGGAGGGAGTAATAAATAATCACACACTTGCAACAACACAAAACTAAGGAGGTCACAGCCGTGTGATTTGCCTATATACTGATTTGATGTGTATTCAGGCACTAATCCTTGAGGTGGTATCAGATGCACACTTCTTTTTCGTCAACATCAGCGGCTGCTTCAGCCTCGGCCTCAGCCTTGACGGATGGAAGTTCAGATATCTCCTTTTCCATCTTGTCAAGGAAACGGGACATGACTTCCAAACTCGTCTCATCTGCATAAAACAACAAGCGTGATTTTACATCAGAAAGTTTATAGGGCGTTCATATCGATGCAGAACGGTGAACCAAGAAACTGACAGGTCGCTTAAACCCTACGAGCTATTTAAATTTCTTCCATCCAGAAATATGTTCAGCAGGTTCACATATCAAACTCTGAATTAGATGGAAAGAGCAATACTGCAGTTTATTTTCCAGCTATAGTTTGTGATCCCGTGGCCTCCAATCACAAATATCTGATGTTCACAGTTTACCTACTGATCTCTTCTGAACTCTTTTAATATCAAAACTAGCACTACAACTGGATCGATATTCACTGCCTAAATTTACGCCGTTCAGAGGAGCTTTGGCAAAATGGAAATATGAGAGCTTACCAACGAGCCTTGGGACCGTGTGGCCCTTTGGGTGACGTATAATGAATGGATCCACAAATGACTCTATGAGCTGTTCACCATGGGGTTTAAGGAAGTCATTGTCGCCTGCACATGAAATAAACCGGTGTGTTAATGGTCCCGTGTTACTTGCTCGCTACTCAGTTGACCTAAGAAGGCTTAAAATCTTACAAAATAAACACTCAACATGGAATGACATGAGAATTTGACTATCGACTAAAATACCCCCAAAAATGGTGTCACCAGATAATATGTTAAAGCTTGATCTCACACACACACAATATAGATTGTTCAGAGTGTAAACTATGTCATGATGATCCTATGGTATATCCTTCCTCTGTAAAGTATCCCCTAAAAATATGCTGTGCACCATCATTAGAATATATCGAGCTCTTGGAGGTTTTTTCATGAGTACTGTCGTTAGGATGCATAAAGCCTTTGGAAAAAAAAATTGTAAGCATGATACAAAAGAATCACACAGTTGGTGTGAGTACTTTAAGTACATATCCTAATCACATAATAAACACTGGAACATAACTGCACATGAGGTATACATGCCGGCTGGAAAATAAATATGATAAGGAGACAGCCATCCGCACACACCGCCAAGGAAGCAGCTGGGAAGATACGCTAGCCAACAACCAACCAGCATGGCAACTGTAAAGAACAGGTCTGTGAAGAACATATGGAAGTACTACCGAGGAAGTGAAGCGAGGGGATTTTGATCATGTTGGCGTAGGCCTTATCGGCTATTGCGGGTGAGCGGAACTTGGCGCCGCCTATGATTATGAGGTACTTGATCTTAGGAACTCTAGTCAAGGCCAATCCCTGCCACCAAAACACAGAACGGTGAGCTAAATAAAGTTGCAGCTCCAGCAGCAATTCAGCATACTCTATCTTAGGAAGAACTACTAGTGGAACAGTCGAACTGGAGTTGATGTGGTAAGGCTATCATAATCCATCAGCTTACTTGTTCTTGGAGCCCCGGAAGTGCGCCAGATAGAATCGAGCCCTGGTATTACCATGACAATTTGCACTCGTTAATTGACAATTTAGTGACAACAAATATGTTTAGGGAAGAGGTGATCCCAGTCTTGTTACCTGGGAGAAACCCATTAGTCCATCAAAGGGCCCTTCTTTGATCATGAGCTCCTCGATGTAAGCCAGGCATTTGTCGAAATTCCTGTACTCCGTGAATCCCTGTTTTCAAAGCGCAAAAAAGCTCCATGAATATAACGGGGGTAAAAAATAAACTCAGATCCGCAGGGCCGACATTCTGGGGCCGAACTTGGACGCACGAGAGAGATTGGGAAGAACAGATCGATGAGGCAATGGGGACATGGGAGGAAGGGAAGGTGGAGGGAGGCGGGCGGACCTTGTCGAACTGGAACCACTCGTAGTAGGGCGGGTCGAAGATGCCGTGGACGTCGGACTTGCCCTCGGCCGGGAAGGGCGCGTCGGCGAAGACGAGGTCGAGGCGCGCCGTGACCTCGGCGGGCCACTTCCCCACCACCTGCTTCCGCATGATCTCGCCGCTGGTCCGGAAGCCGTGCAGGCACAGGAACCGCGGCCGCCTGGCCCCGACCCCGCCGGCGAGGCTGCCCATCCGCG